TTCTCAACTAGTTTGAGGGTGAGAACCATATTCTATCTTTATTACCTTCCCAGTGTTCATCATTTGTTTCTTCCCCCCTTTCCTTGCCCATACATATCTGCCATCTTTTACTCTGTTCACTTTCTCAACCTTTCACCATCTGGGGCTTCAATAATATAGTATTGCCTAAGACAAAAAAGCAGCTAGGTGGTACAATAGATAGAGTGCTTGTAGTCAGGAAGACTCATCTTCCTAAGTTCAAATCTGGTCTCAGACACTTTACAGTTGTGTGACTGTGGTCATCACTTAGCCCTGTTTGCCTCCGTTCCTCATCTGTAAAATGAACTGGAGAAGGAAATGGCAAACCACTCCTGTATCCTTGACAAGAAAACCCCAAAATGGGTCATGAGGAGTTTAACATGACTGAAATGATTGAACAACACAAAAGAAATGAGTCCATAATGTGTTAGCTTTGCAAAAATGTTTTAATCACTAAGAAGGAATAGAGTTCTCATGAGGATTTTAGGAAACTCTCAGTATACCAAAACTTCCTCCAAAGAAAAACAGTGTTCAGGAACCATGAATACACCCACAGGCACCATTTTATGGAATCTGTATTGTCAGGGACTTTAGATGAGTTGGAGGATGAAATGACTGGTATTGGGTTTCAAAGTGTAATCCAAATTTTTAATTTTCCTTATTAAAGTCCGGAGTGGATTAGGATATTATCTACCTTACAGATTCTTTTACACCCTTTGCTTCCTTACCCTTTCTTGACTAAGAGAAGTATATTTATTTAGTAGGACATTGAGGACTTAGTATTTTCCATGGAGAATTCATTTTGAATTGCCTTCCTGTTTTTCCAGATCCTTTAAAAGTGCTACTTTCCTGAGCTTTGGAGCATGCAGTAAGCCTTCTCTGGTTAAGATAGCTTCCCTATTATCCTGTGAGAATGACTAGTCTATCTGTCAATAAATATTGATAAAGTATCTACTCTGCCTAACCACTGTGCAAGAGTCTATTTACATATTTACATTATTCAACCATTCATTTTATTACTCCAACAATTATATAAATGTACATGAAAATTATGGCAAGCGTGTATCAAATGATGCATTTTAATAATTCCTTTAATGTTCCTACATTTCCTCATCTGGTCATGAGCAGGATTATGTTAAGAAATAGATAAAAATTCATATTAAAAATGAAGAAATTTTAGTTAGCCCAGATATAATGCAATGTCAGATGCAATGAGATGATCTCAAGATGTTATCCTTTGGTTCACCTGATTCAGAGTATTATTCAATATACAACAAATATTCACTGAGTGCCTCTTAAACGTGAGGTACTGATTTAGATGCCATATGGAACACAAAGAAGAAGACCATAAAGACCCTGCCCTCACCAAGTTTGTGAAGCTTAGATTTTATGCAGTCACAAAGAATGACAAAATTACTTTGCCTTCACTAATTCAAGCTAGACTTTTAACATCATTTTAATTTAGGTAAGGGAAGAGAGGGTAACATCAGTAGAACAGTGTGAAAACCATGGAAGTACTTTTCCTTATCATCAAAGATAGGATACCTGAATAAGTGCTCTTCGAAAAGGTAAATCTGACTGCCATTCTTGAAAAAGGAATACAGGAGAAAGGAAGGGAATAAACATTTATGTGGAAACTATGTGCCAGGCACTTTGTGAAGTCTTTTTTATAAATATTATCTCATTGATTGCCTATGTCACAAAGCAAAAGGGAAGATTTCTTTTTCCTTTTCATTCCTCTGTTTAAGATTGCCCTGGTTAACATCATTTCACAATAACACCAGTAATGTAGTATAACCTAATCCCATTGTAAAGTCATAAAACTCCACTGTTAGTCATTTTTCAGTCAGACATGACTCTGACTCTTCATGACCCCATTTGGGGTTTTCTTGGTAGAGATATTGTAGTGGTTTGCCATTTCATTCTCCAGTTCATTTTACAGGTGAGGAAACTGAGGCAAGCAGGGTTAAGTGACTTGCCCAGGGTCACACAGCTAGTAAGTGTTTAAGGCAGGATTTGAACTCAGGAAGATGACTCTTCCTGACTCCGAGCCCCGCATTCTATCTATTGTACTGCCTAGCTGCTCTTTTGTCATAGGTCTTACTTTTTTTAAGCCCCAAATGGTGAAAGGTTGGGAAAGTGAACAGGAACAGTATAATGTCTTAGAAAGATCACTGGATTTAAAGTCAGGGTACCTAGCTTCAAATCCTGGCTCTGCTCCTTGCCTCTGGTTTTAGTTACCTTGAACAAGTCACTTCACATGTCTAAGCATCAGTGTTCTCTTCTGTAAAATGAGGGGGTTGGACGTGATGACCCTTCAAGTTTTCTTCTATCTCTAAATCTATGGTCCTCTTCTATAATGAGAGAAGCTGCATAGTACAGTAGGTGGATAATCGGCCTTGGACTCAGGACCACCACTAATCATGACCATGTGACTTAGTTAAAGTAGCTAACACTTTCAAGTTTACAAAGTCCTTTTTCTCATTTGGTCCTCACAACAACCTTGGGAGGTAGGTACCATTATTACCCCCATCTTAAAGATTAGGAAATTAAGAAAGGTTAAGTGACTTGCCGAGGGTCATGCAGCTAGTAAGAGGTTAAAGCAGGATTTGAATTCAGGTCTTTCTGACTCTAAGTCCAATACTGATTTAGATTATTTAACTCATCCACTCCTCAGGCAACTCTCTAAGGCTTTAAGTTGAAATACTGTTGCCTATCTGGAATTGTAGAATTTCTCGACCAAGAGTTCTCTAAACACCAATGAAATAATAAGTCCAGACCAGAAAAAGAAAAAGACCCAATACCATTTCTGTGGAACCAATTGCCTTCTGTAAAAATACTTCACCAAATAGTATGTTTCTACAGAATTCATTAGTATTGTTCTATCACATCATATGCACCAGAGGCAATTCTTGGGCCTCCAAAGAAAGGGACTCAATAGCGCCTTGGTGGGATTGCCATTGGTGGTATTGGGAATTTGTGTCACTACTTTAAAGTCAGACCTTACGCTTATGCTCTAATTTTTCTGCTTGAATGAAATCTCTATCTTTCAATGAACCAATAAATCCATTACTACAGTTCTGAAAATCATAAAAGGACAGGAAATATTAAACTGTGTCAGACTCTGGTTTGGTTTCCTCAAAGTTTATCTTCAATGATAAAAAAAATGCATATATATATATATATATATATATATATATCAAGCAGCTAGGTAGCATAGTGAAAAGTCTTATTCTTGGAATCAGGAGGAGAGGAGTTCAAATCTGGCCTCAGACACTAGCAAATCACTTAACCTCTGCCTCAATTTCCTTATCTGTAAAAGGGTGGGAATTTTAATAGCACCTACCTCCCAGGATCGTTGTGAGGATAAAATGAGATAATGCAGGGTGTCCCAAAAATCTTGGTGCAGTTTTAAGCTATTGGGACTTTTTGCATTTTGTAAAGGGTTTTGCAAGCTTTAAGGTGTTAAATATATGGAAGTTCTTATTGTTCAATGAGATAAATACAGAATAGATGGAATGTCATCTGAGAGAGAAAGCTAGGGGGACAAGGAAAAGTTGCCTGAAGAAATTAGGATTTGAGATGAGTTTCAAAGGAATCCAGAGAAACTATGATGTTAGGTGGGAGGCTGGGAAGAGTGCAGAGCATTCTAAGCATAGGGGCCAGCTGGTGCATAGGCTTAGAGATCGGAGATGGAGTGCCTTGTTCAGGGTATTCTCTGAAATTAACCAGTTCAGACCAGGGTAGCTAAATTATAGAATACACGAAGGAAAGGAAAGTGGGCTCTGTTTCCTGTGGTTGTTGTGAAGACAAAATGAATTTATACATATAAAGCTCTTTGCAAATCTTAAAGAGCTATACAAATTTTAGCTATCAATGACCTTTTTGTCATCATCAAACACTGAGTGAACACCCACCATGTGCTAGGTGATGACACAGTAAAGGAGTATGCAGGTTTGTGGGCAATCTGTGTTGAATATTTCACTCTTTTTTTCTCAGATAAAAGAAAGGGGAACTGTTCCTGTTGCAATGATTTTCTAGTTACTGTCATCACACATCTCAGTGAAACACTGTGAGAAGTCTTCTTGGAATGTTGTCAGCTAAAACTCCTGCAACAAGGATAGCTTTTGCACAGGATTTCACACTGAATAATATAGTAACATCTAGAGATTCCTAACACAGAAAAACAAGTGAGAATGCTTTTTTTTTAATCACCATGACGTGTGCATAAGATGCTCCTCAAACAGCTTACCAGAACCTCCTGTTCAACAGGTGCAGTGGAAAATGGGTATGATTGAGGGAGGAAATGTGAAACTCTAAATTTTTAAAAATTAATGTTAAAAATTATTTTACATGTGATTGGTGAGAAATTAAAATATTAAATAAAGAAAGAAAATGGGGATGATTTAAATTCAAAGGATGTGGGTATGTATCCTGACCCCACCATTGATTGCCTGTGTGACTTTGGGCAAGTCATTTAACCCCTTTAGTTAACCTCAGTTTCATGATCTACAGAATGAGGGGATTGGACAAGATGACCTTAAGTCAATCAATCAAAAATCAATAAAATTTAGTAAGCACCTACTACGTGCCAGTGACTGTTCTCAGTGCTGGGAATACAAAAAGAAGCAAAGGACAGTTCTTGCCCTCAAGGAGGTCACAAGCTAGGTCCCTTCTAGTTCTAAATCTAGCACTCCATGATTCTTTATTATAAGCTCACAGTTGACAAAGTGTTTTCCTCCTTCACAAAACTCAGCCTGTACTTAAAACTTTTGCATTAGAGTGGGCACCTCACAAATACATTATCTCTTTAATCTCTGAATTTTTAAAGGTCATATGGGGCTTGAATTTCTCAGCAATAAATAATCACCCGGGATGCTTAAAAGAGATGAATAGGTAAACAACTGAAAATACATCAAAATAAAATTAGAGGAGTGGCCTTTTTGAGAGAATACAACAAAGATGTTGTCTCGTTAGCTTACCTTTTTCTTCTCCATTAATGTTTTCTAAAGATCCAGAAACCTGGTTCTCAAAGCCATGTTGAAGATTCTGCTTCAGATTTTCAAGATGGCTGTCTTCCTCAAGAACAGGAGAAAGTCTAGGTGGCTGCTTTGGGTTATCACAGGTAGGACGGGGCTGTTGGGATGCTATGAAACTAGAGTCCCCCAAGGGGCTTTGCTTCAGGTCCCAGAGATCAGTATTATAATTTCCCATAGGGAATTGGTTAGTTTCAAGCAGTACGGATTCCATGTCACTCTGGCTCTGAGCATAGTCTTGTTTTTCTCCATCTTCCAAATCACTCTCCTGAACATCACCATCATTCATCTCTGGGTCCAGCTCACCATTTAACTGAGGGTCCTGCTTACTTAAATTAAGCAAGGAAGCAGATAAGGTATTGCCAACTTGCTGAACAGCTTCATACATCCGTGACATCCAAGAAGAAAGAGGCTGGAAGAAGTTCTGGGAATCTTGAGAAGCCATGGTCAACACCATGACCTGCTGACTACAAACTCCGGAAGTTCAGTTTTGCTGGTATGCCGTGATTACGTGAGCTATAGAATAAGCATTATAAGAAATTAAATTTGATGTCTCTTGAAGACTATAAATATTTCACCACCCAGCTGAAATGGAAGGAAAAGAATATTTCCATCTAATCAATAACACAACCATGAAGCCATCACCAGACACCCCCAAATTAATGCCAAATTATGCATTTGCAGGAAGAAGGGTAGATCACCATTGCAATCTTGAAATAGCTAGTTGAAAACCATTTCACAAGAGTCTAAATGGAGATGATTTCAATGCCTATTCACCTCATCAGGCATATGCAAAACTTGCATTAGCAATAATGGGACCTATTCATGTGGACCACGAGGAGGAAATCCCCCCATGGACTAGATTTGGCAGTGTGAAAAGGATAAATGAATCTTCATTAAGAGGCAGTTCAGCATGACATTTTTAAACACAAAAAGGTTTGATGTTCCATATATGAAATTACAGATCACAGTTAGCAGACTAATAATCATCTTTACTTCATGAGACAAAGATTTAGCCTTTCAAGGAAAATGTATAATTGGTGGGAAATGACTTTAACAAACTTCAGAGTGGCATTTTTAAAATTGTGTTTTTTAGAAAATAGCATGCATGAAGGAGGAATTCAAACCTCTGAAATAAACTTCTGCTTATTGTGACAAAGTCAAATACAACACTACGAATCAAAAGACCAGCTTACCCAAATGTAGCCTAGTAACAAATTTTAGAACTGAAAGAGATTTTAGAGCTCAACTAATCTAACCATCTCAATTTTTCACAGAAAGAAATTGGAACCCAGAGATGGAAAGTAATAGGCCAAGGTTACACAGGTTATCATAAATGGCAGAGCCAAGATATGAACCCAAGTATTATAGAAAACTGGGCTTAGAAGACTCATCTTCACAAGTTCAAATCTGGCCTCAGATACTCAGATACTAGCTGTGTGACCCTGGGCAAGTCATTTAACCCTGTTCGCCTCAGTTCCTCATCTGTAAAATGAGCTAGAGAAGGAAATGGCAGACCTCTCCAGAATCTTTGCCAAGAAAATTCTAAATGGGGTCACAGTCAGATATGACTGAAATGACTCCACAACAAACAACAACAATTCTTACTTTAAATACAATCCACTAAACATAAATCTTATTGTATCACTTCTTTACTCAAAGTTTTTCAGCGGGTAAAATACAAAATCTTCTAATATCAACTACAAAGGCATTTGTGGCCTTTGTGTAGCATTTGATATCCTTCACAATATGGTTCTTTTCTACCTTATTTCATATTGCTCTCATTCCCACTTTCTCTATTCCAGTGAAACTCATCCACTAGCTATTTCTCACACATGACATTGTTTCTCTCATCTTCATATGTTTGGATAGGTGGTCCCACACATCTAGAACATCCTCCCTCCTCACCTGTTACATTTAAATGGTTCCCATTTAGCAGTTCAAAAAAGGCCTTGTGAGTTCCCAATGATGATTCAAGAGATTCATTCTTAAAATACTTTAATCCAACCTTGAGCAATAAGTAATTGCAGATTTTTATAAGTAGTATATTAAATTATCCTGGGAGTCAACAATACTTTTTATTGTTGTTGTTCAAATGTTTTAAAGGAACAAAAAAAAAATGTTGGGAACCATTGTCTCAGTAGAATATAAGCTTCTTTAGGGTGAAGAACATTTTATTTTGGTTTCCATATGCCCAGTGCCTTGCACATTATTCACATTTAACAAATTTTGTTGAACTGAATTATATAACACACTGCCTGCCACAATTAGGTTGTTCCCTTTTCTTCTTTCTTCTAATCTCCTTAAATCTCTGAAACCTTCCAGGCTTTAAAAATACTCTTCCACAAAGAGGTCTCAGAACTAATCTGTTACAGCTATAAGGCACATCCACCAAAACTAGGACAGCAATAGAATTCTGGGAAAAATAATAAGGATGATGATGATGATGATGATGATGATGATGATGATTACCTTATAACCACCTTTCACATTCATGATCATCTGTTTGGAGCCTTACAATTACCCCTCTAAGATTGGTAGAGCAATCATTACTACCCCTATTTTATGAAGGAGGGCACAGATACTCAATTTAAGCAACTTGCCAAAGATAATGCTCACTAATGACTGAGTTGGGAATAGAATAGAGGGCTTCTCATCCCTCCCTCCTCACTTCTCATTCAGTTCTTATTCCACAACTTACACAGAATACAACCTGTATAGACAGCTGGTATGAATATCAAATGCTAACCCAAGAACCTTTTAATTTAAATTAAGGGATCTTTAAGTCTCTTATTAGGGCAGGTGGATGACACAGTGGATAGAGTGCTGGATCTGGAGTCAGGAAAACTTAGCTTCATGAGTTCAATTCTGGCTCAGACACTCACTAGCTCTGCGACCCTGGGCAACTCACTTAACCCTGTTTGTCTCAGTTTTCTCATCTATAAAATGAGCTGGAGAAGAACATGGCAAACCACTCCAGTATCTTTGCCAAGAAATCCCAAATGGGGTCACAACTGAAATGACTGAACAACAACAGACTCTATCATTAAAAACCAAAGTTGATAGGATCATAGTCTCGATGTAGAATAGACCTCAGGATTCATCTAGTCTAACCTTCTTATTTTTCACTTTACTTATTTTTTTAGTCCAACTCTTACTCCCAAGGAGTTCACAAACCACTAAATGGAATCAACCTTACAGGGGGGGATACAACTCATGCACATGCATAAGTACAAAGTATATGTAAAGTGCTTTTAAGAGGAAAGATCAGGAAAGGCTTTGTATAGGAAGTGGTATTTGGGGGGGCAGAGCCAAGATGGCAGAGGGAAAGCAGTGACTTGCTAGAGCTCTCTCCCAAACCCCTCCAAATACCTATAAAAATGGCTCCAAACAAATTCTAAAGCAGCAGAAACCACAAAAAAACAGAGTAAAACAAATTTTCAGCCCAAGACAACCTGGATGGTTGATCAGAAAGGTATATCGCACCGGGCAGGGAGAGGAGCGCAGTTCGGCATGGGCACGCACAGCAACCCTGGAGCAGGCCTCAGAGGACTGAATCGCGGGCAGCTGTGGAGGTTTCCAGACTTCTCAACCCACGAATGCCAAAGACAACTTAGAAGGTCAGTGGGAAAAGTCTGTGACTGCGGTGAGAGAAGAAGCTAGGTCTCAGCCACCCCGAGGGCAGCAGCTGCCTCCTGAGCTTCTGGCCCACAGACTGGGGGGGAATCGAGTGGCTGATCAGAGGGGGATTTCAAGAATCTCTTTACCAGTGCTGAAGCAGGAATCTCTTGCTTTGCCCGTGCCTGGATCTGGGTCACAGTTCTGAGGGGCAGTCCTGGGGCGAGGAGGAGCGCTGGCACAGTGGAGCTTGTTGTGGCAGTGGAGAGGAAACACCTCACACCTTATCATACCACCTTGGAAGAACTGAAAATTTACACATCCCTAGAAGAATCTCTGAAAACAGCTGTACAAACCCCTGAAGCTTGGGACAGTACATTCTCCACATTGGAAACAGACTCTTACCTTAACAAAGAGTTTAAAACTCAAGTAATTGGTTGGGATCATGAGCAAGCAGCACAAAAAGAGTCAGACTATATTATCTTTCTTTGGTGACAAAGAAGATCAAAACATACAACCAGAAGAAGAAAACAAAGTCAAAGCTCCTACATCCAAAACCTCTAAGAAAAATATGAATCAGTCCCAGGTCTTAGAAGAGCTCAAAAGGGATTTTGAGAAGCAAGTAAGAGAGGTAGAGGAAAAACTGGGAAGAGAAATGAGAGTGATGCAAGAAAATCATGAAAAGTAAGTTAACAGCTTGCTAAAGGAGACCCAAAAAAAATACTGAAGAAAATAACACCTTAAAAAACAGCCTAACCCAAATGGCAAAAGAGGTCCAAAAAGCCAATGAAAAGAAAAATACCCTAAAGAGCAAAACTGGACAAATGGAAAAGGAAGTCCAAAAGATTACTGAACAAAATACTTCCTTAAAAATTAGAATAGAGCAATCGGAAGCTAATGACTTTATGAGAAGTCAAGACACTGTAAAGCAAATCCAAAAGGAAGTGATATTTGAATCTTACTATTTGTATATTCTTTGGAAGAACTTATTTCTACAAGACAGAGGTGAAGAGAGAAAACATTCCGGATATGTATGACCACCAATGCAAGGAAACTGAGGTGCATAGAGATTAAATGCCCTACCCAAGGTCATATGGGTAGTAAGTGTCAGGGTCAAGATTCAAATTCAGGGCCTGTGACTCCAAGGTTAGTAGTTTTTCCATTGCACCACACTGTCTTCCTTCTTTGAACTCTCAAATTATTCACCAATTTTTGGTGAAAGTAGAACTATGGGTGCATTAAAGATGTATATGTTACCAATTGTCTGTGTAGGTAGAAAATTTGAACTGGTGCTGGTTTCATAGAAAAGATATTTGCTCCTTTCTTCTCTTCCTGTTGAAATCCTTCTCTTCCTCCCAGGCCCATTCAGGTGGCATTTCCTCCATGAAACTTTTAGCTCATTTATAATTCATCATGTGTACCATGCTTATCTACATATATCAGGAAGATCTGAGTTTAAATCTAGCATCATAACTTACTAGCTCTGTGACCTTGTGCAAGTCACTTAACCCTGTTTGCTTCAGTTTCTTCATCTGTAAAATGAGCCGGAGAAGAAAATTGCAAACCACTCCAGTATCCTTACCAAGAAAATGTCATATAGAGTCACAAGGAGTTGGACACAGTTAAATGACTCAACATCTCCTAGGAGGTCCTAGGAGTTGTATCATGTTACTTTCTTTCTATTGCATTCATACCCCACCCAAACAAACTTCTAGTCATCTTCACAGCTGAGAAAGCGGTACCAGAAAAACTTTGGGTGAGTAATCTTGGCCACCCCAGTTTGGCAGGGTTGGTTGAACCTCCAGGGTTTTGCCCTATCATTTGAGGATTGGTATGGGA